TCCTCTAAAATCCCTCCCTGGGACACCTCTTTAGAATTCCTGGATTCTGTTGATTTATTGTAATTATTGCTGGGCCTATTAATATTATTTATAATGTGTCTAATACAATCTTCACTTTATCCTCTCAAAACAGTCCTTAAAACGTTCAGAGTGCGCTACTTCACAGGGGTGGGGGTTCGCCCCCCTGGACCCCGCCGGGGTCATACGTATCTCGCATAACGGCTCTCCTCTTTCAAAATCCCGGCTACGTCCCTGTCTTGCCATGAGGAGAGGAGACGGGTTGGTAATCGTTGCCCTAATGAGGAGAGAAACTGATGGGGGATAAATGATAAAGTGGGGTGGGGGTGTCACTGTATGCATGTCTAAAGGGCGGCGGCGGCAGCGGCGGATCCTTGTAGCAGGCTAGTGGGCATGTCATTTTGTTGAAAACACTGCTTTGATGCGTCTTTTCAGTCCTGGAACCTAGAGGCGTTTATTTTAAAATTTGCTCACTTCAGCCCCAACAGGTTGAGCTGATGTAAATGTGGGGCGTTTTGGGTGAATCTGACTCCTTGTCGAGAACTTTCTGGCGCTGCCATTTTTTACCTACTTGAGAGTATTTTTTTTCTTGGAAAATTTCTAGCGGTAGAAGGGCAAGAGATTTGTTGTATCCCCCACCCTTCCCAGTGCTCACTGCGTTCCCTCATTTTTGCAAAACAAGGTCTATCAAGATGACGTTGAAGAACCAAGGCAATTATCCTATTAGGAAGACTTATAAGCCTACAAAGTATGTGGGGCTGACATTGAAAACATTGAAAGTACACAATGTATGTCGGCCCGCCGGTGGTCTCAAGAGATTGAAGTACCCCAACCCCCAGCTTACAAAGGTTGAATACCCGGGAGCGAGACTAGCTATTTACTACATGAGCTTATGTTTAAGGTTTCAAAAGGTAAGTTTTATCAAAACCGAGTCAATATTTACATATGCTTAATTACCAGGTTCGATACTAGCTATTTGTCAGTTTGATATAATTGGATAATAAATGACTTTATTTGTTTGGCAGTCCAATTAGTCTTAAGGTGTTATTTCTCTTCCTAATTGTATTGTAGTCGTGATTTAGTAGTTTTAACATGTTAATCTAAAAATCATACTGTAATTATAACACAACAACAATGCGGGCATTAGGCCTATCAAATTAATATTACAAGGTGTGCTTGCTGGAATCTCACTTACCCACAACGAACCCTTATTTATCGAAATCAGTGTCCATTAGTTAAGAGGTCATAAAATTAATAGCACTTAAATTACACCTACGATAATCTCAAATTTGTTGCTGGTATATTGTCCAGACTTTATGTTCACCAATTTGTTGATAGTTCCATTCTTGATCCACGCGTCTTCCTATATCCACTTAAGTACGGAGGTTAGACCAAAAATTAGATAAAGTAAGAATGTTGAGTATATTGAGTACCGGTAGCGGTATAACGATTTATATTTTCTATAGTGCTATACTACTTCTATGCATCCTCCTATGTCTAATACTGCGTGACAATCCACCAAGTTCAGGTAAATCGCCGCCTGGCCCTAATGGTATTCCGATTCTTGGAAATCTTCTTGTATTTCTAGGTGAGAAACCTCATTTACAGTTTTATAGATTGGCTCGTGAGTTTGGTTCAGTTTTTCGAGTTCGTATTGGCCGTTTTGATGTGATCGCTCTGAACGACTTCAACGCCATTCGCGAGGCAGCAAATAAACACAAGGAGATCAAACGTTACATGGCTCCAGTCAGCGTTATTTTGCAAAAAATAGGTAAGATGAATATTTCATAAAGTTCTTTTGTCTATCATATATTGAAGTAATTTGGCTAAATCACATTAGAAAATACAAAATCATATACAGAAACGATACATAAAAGACACACAGGAAATTTTAAAAGTTTCAAATCCAGGATAACCATATAACATGTTGGTTCCCACGGAATCAGCATAAGGCTAGATGTAATTTCAATTTTAATTTCAATTTTACTCAATACACACAAAATACAATTTTGATTAAAATTATCATATTTTTTTTTTATTTATTAATTTTTAAAATTTATTTAAAACCTCACATCAATCCCAGAGGGCAAACTTTACATAAACATCAAATATTTAATAGCATATTACAGAATTACAAGAAGATACAACTCACTGAAACAGTACATTCAAAATAGAAATAAAAATAAATATTTAACATTGTATCATCATATTAACATTTATTTATATTTTTTGCAATTCCAAATAGGCCTATTTAAAATGTAAGTTTTAATATTATTAATTCCCAGTAATATTTAACATTAAAAAGAAATAAAGTAGGCCTATTTATAAACAAATTATATTACAATTAACGTTAATTATTATTATTTACAATTGCAGGTTTCTAAAAGTTGTTAATTATTATTACAATCTACAATATAATTTTAAAATAGAAAAAGTATCCAAAACAGATAAGTAATTAACCACTATATTGTTTTCTAATGATGTAGTTAATAAGAGTGATTTGAGAGACGGTTTAACACGTAGTTCGGGTATAAAGAAACTGAAAAAAAAATACACAAAACTGTTTAACCTCTATACAAGATACGAACACGTGGTCGTAGTTATCAATCACATTACATATAGGGACATAACGGAAAATCAATTATTTTCTATTTAAACAAATTATATCTACAAGAAAGGAAATAGATATATTTAATGCCGAACTTTTAAGTCACATTTCTTTAATTTTTATAAATTTTGTTATCCATATATATTTTGTTCCAATTGAGAATTTTACCACAAAGTAGGCCTACATCCCATTTCGCTCAATATGGGGTTGCTTGTATTCTACAAGTGTGCGATATGCCTCCCTTGTGTTCATCTTTTTGGAACTGGTTTATCGTCTAACTTTTGCAATTTTAATTAATTTATTTTAATTGTGTCAGTGCTTCCACCGGCGGTTTCATTTCGGCAATCCAGTTGGTTTAATACTGCAAATTGTTTTTAATGAACTTCTGGCATGAAAGCCGTAATTTACGTGGATTATGCCTGAGGCTATACAATGCTTTAAAAAAGTACCATATTTTTATTTTTCCCTTTTGAGAAACGATTTCCCTAAATTATTTCCTTTTTAATCTTACTGCCGTTGGTTGCCATCGGCGTGTTTTATTCATGGATCTGATGCCAAGCCTTAATTGCTAGAGTTTAGAAATGTGGAACATATTTGTTTGGGAAAGGGAACTTATTAAAAAAACCAAGATACATACGTAACATTTGGTGTTCAAAAACACTATCTATACAAGTATGGAAATTATCAAAAAAATCTACTTTACTATTTGGAGGTCTATAAAGAACCCCAATCAGTGATTTTTTTGAGAAATGATATACTTCTGTCCACACAAGTTCGACTTCAGGACAAACTTCAATGGTGGATGCACTTGAAGAGTGAACATTCTTATGTATTGCAATTAACACACCACCACCTCTTCTATTTCTATCCTTGCGGTAAAGAGTGTAATCCAACAATCCAAGCTCGGCATCAGAAATATCCTCCTGTAGCCAGGTTTCAGTTATAATTATGATGTGAGGATTTTCAGTCTCAACAAGGGCTAGCAGGTCGTGAATTTTTCTTATAATACTACGAGCATTCACGTACAAAACGTTTAGGCATCTTGTGATCATGATTATAATAGAGTAGAAAAGTGCTTTGTAACTAGTGCAGTACGGTGACGGTATGCTTGGTATGTCACTCACGTATGTCCAGGAGAAGGTTATAGTGAACAAGTTAAAAATAATATTCAATAAATCAGTCTCAAAAACAGGACAAACCAACAGGAAGACAGAATCCGAGCAAGAAGAACAGTACGCGAAAACACACCAAAAATTAACAAAGGAAAACACCATAAAATTCAGTTAAAAACAATCAGGAGATCCGAAAACATCAAAAATTCCCCAAACAAATCAAATCACAGCAGCAATTTCAGTAGGCAAATTAAAAAAAGCAATATAATTCCATATAAAATATCAGTTAGGCTCCAAATGTTGACAGAGAAATAATATTGCACAATGATTTAGGCTGAGGGAGTGTCCTTGCATAGCTCCTATAGCAGCCGAAGTCGTTTGAAATTCGCGGGTAGAACATCAGGCAATTAAGAGTATTGCAGGTCTAGCGGAGCTCACAGGAATACGTCCGCTCGCTGTGACGACTGTTCCATTATGGTTAACACATAAGAGAGCAGCTAGCTCAGTCGGCTAATCTGATGGTAGCCACTGTGTGTGCACTGAACCGTGGAGATCTCTCGGTCCCCGGTTTAAATCCCATCGCTGTCTCTCCTTGTGTTTCAGCTAGAGGGCTGAAATACAAGTTACAATAGCGCACCGTCTTTCGGATGAGACGTTTAAGCTGTCGGTTCCGTGTGCATTATGGCCCATGTGCACGTTAAAGAACGCAGTACACTCTCGGAAAAGAGTAGGGGATTGTCTCCCGGTGTACTGCCCAATCACCACCAGAAGGACCCCATGGGAAATAAGTCTTCTTCTAGACTTTCGTGGGCTATCCTTGGTGTTTACAGCGAATAAATCCAATCCAATCCAATCCAACACGCCACGTCTAACCTTTGCCATAACCATAACATGATGTAATTTACATTATGCTCAACCATTATTATATTACTAATTGTTCATAAGCGATATTATTTCTGTTTAATAGTAGCTGTTGTTGTTTTCAGGTACACTGTTCAAAAGTAAAGAGAGCAGTTTAGACGAGCAATTTAAAGATGTGAAGCGCGTTTTCGGTAGTCCAAAAGACGAGCTGGAGGTGTGTGCTGCCAAAGAAACAGAAGAAATGGTCAAAGTTATTCACTTGAAAGGCAATGAAGCGTTCGAACTCAAACCAATGGTACTCACCACTGTAATCAATACAACATTGAGCGTGTTTAATATGAACAGATGTAAAAGGGATGACGTGAGATTAAAGAACACCGCGGATTTTAGCAAGAATATCATCCAGGTCGACCAGTACTTTCATCTTTTAGATGTCCTTCCGGTTTGTGATATTTTTAAACTTCGCCAATTTAAAACATTAGCTTTGCTGGGATTGAAACTTCAGAATTTCGTAAACGAGAAAATGCAAGAATTTTATAAACGAGACAAGGAATTCGTGGGAAAAGATGCTCAAAACGACGAAGAAAGTAAAGAAAAAAAACCGAATGGCAGCGACATTAGTGATCAATCGAAAACAAATTCCGTTATCTCTCTAAAACTAAACAGTGTTCAAAACATTTCGTGTACACTTCGTAATTCTCTCATTGCTGGCACACACACCGTAACAAACACGTTCAACATTGCTATGTTTTTCATCGCTCAAAATCCTAAGATAATGGAGAGAGTGCAGAAAGAAATACATGATGTCACAGGAGGCATCCGAAGACCGACATTTGCCGAGAAAGCAAACATGCCATACACGGAAGCAACGATATTGGAGATGTTGCGCATTTCTCGATTGGTTGTGAGAAAGTATTTCGCCCCCAACGGGGGAAGCCTTAGCGGTTATAAATTGTGTCCAGGAACACTGATCTTGGTGAATTATTACGCGGTACATCACAACCCCGATGTTTATCCTGATCCAGAACAATTTAAACCTGAGAGGTTTTTGGATGCTGAAGGCAAAATTTTCAAACCCAAAGAATACATCCCCTTTGGAACAGGTTCGTCAATGTTACCGTAAATTGTAATTATTTTTGGAATGATAAAAACCTTAGACCTAAATATGTTCATATCCTAAAATATGTTCATATCCTAAAAGCTCATAGCATGATTTAAGTTTTATTTCTTATTTTTCTTTTAAGGGCCACGGATGTGCAAAGGACTCGGCCTCGCACGTGTCGACTTATTCATACTATTTACTTATCTACTCCAGTGTTTTACATTTTCTCTAAAAGAAGATATGAAAAATGAACTTGAGGGAATACTTGGTTACAACGAAGAATTTATTTACGAAGTAACTGCGGTTCCTCGTCAAGGATGCTTTTCACCAGACGTTTAAATCACGACTGCTTTAATGTGTGTTAGTTCTGCTTCTGATGATGAACTATAATTAATAATACATTATTTGTTGAATATATTGTTGCTTGATTCTTAAATATTTTTTTATTTTATACATGATACAATTTCAGACAAGATGTAACAGTCTAAGATAGTATAATACATACGGTACTCTAAGTATCGAAATGCACGCCTGATGATGACATAATTAATGTCGAAATATTGAATCCCGACACGATGGCGTGCATTTCGACACTTGGAGGATGTTTTATACTATCTTATCTGAGATTAATCAGGGGACCTTTCGGTTTATGTAACAGTCTTGTTTTAATAATTGTCCTGTTTTAGACAATTATCTAATCTCTCTAATAGGCCTACAAGTTCTCAATTAAAATCTGGGTTTTGATCTCAGTGAAAATAATGCGTATAGACGACATTTACTACCGAATAGTGTAATTAATTATGTTTACATTATGACACGTGAATATGATGATTCCACAAACATAAGAAGGATATAACGCATACCGGTATCTCATTTACATCTGTTCATAACGATAAATACACAATGTATCTCAAAATTTAAATTTCGATGATGAAATACGAGCTTTCATTCAATATTCTTAATGTTTTCTTAATGAAATGAACAATTCCACATCCCAATATTCGATTTCTGTTTGTTTAGTGAATAAACTACACGTGGGTATCTTGTATACATATCTGAAAATCAGACGGAGCTGACGGCTTATGTAATAGCAAATTATTCCTCTTTGGTACATGTCACAACCACAAAGTCTAACAGATGACAATATCTTTTAATGGATAATGAATCATTCAATTAAGAATTGATTTAATTCGATATGATATAACCTTTACAATAACAGTGCATTTTACATTTGAAACAATACCGGTACGTAGCCAACGACAGCAACATGTCTGCATTGAGTAAATTAATAATAATTTAGACTATTTGAATTACTTATTTTGTATATTTAAGTAAGTTATTAAAATGAAACATTTGAATGAGAAAAAAAGTTCCCCGTCAATTTTCGTAGATCCTTAAAATTGGTTGGTGATCAATTTAAGGATTTTTGTAGTAAAATGTCTGTAAATCGGTGAAAACTAGCCTACTTTTTTTTTTTATCTGTTTCTCATTGGAAGTTATTAATTTATTTGATCCTTTTAAACGAACTATTCAAAATTTTATTGTGGTATTTTCCTGTCAATCGACTCATCTTAAGGGAGGAGTGTATGAGAAAGTGTTAATTGACAGCGAATGTGCGAGGGTTAACGAATATGGAAGAAATAATGATTCAAGGCGAGAGTGGGCCTGGAATTTCTGGCGGCAGTGACCATCTGGCGGCAGTGACCAAGCCTTCGCCAGTTTTCGAACTATCTTGGACAGGGAACATTTTTTAGCCATTATTATTAATTTGTTGAGGCCGCGATGCGGCCCCAAGTTGGCTACGAATACTAAATCAGCATTTTTCCCACAAAATCCCGAAAATTTTATTTGTGTATATCATAGGGGTTTGATTCAGGTATCGGTTACTATGTTGACCAATTTTGATGTTGCGCAATATATATCATATCATATTTATTAGGCCGCTTATATAAGCGTCTGGGATTGAATGTGCATTGTGTTACGGTATATAATGTGATGAATTGAATGAAATGACATGAATAGCAGTATTAACAAAAATACACTCATCGATCTAAGATCGAAGATTTGGAAGGAAATTTATTATTCCTAAAATTTTAACTTTTTAGTCACTAACGGATATTATAGCTATCTACTTCACTGTCATTTAAAGCCCACTTCCAGACTGTTTGACAAAATACATGTGACATGCCTAAATATGGTCATGGACATCACATCATGACCATATATAGGCACATCATGACTATATATGGGCATACAACAGTGTTTTGATAGTGTGGATAGAGCTTAACGGCCTCTCAATAATAATTTATTTTGTTAAAGCTGGCTGGTTATATTTTCATAAGAAAATGATTATTAAATAATCTTTACATTGTCGGAAAAGGTACCCAACACCTGTCTGAAACTCCGTGCTGACATTTTAAGTTCGAATCAAATGTATAAATTGAATAGAACGTGGATTGAGGTTGTTATGTAAATTAGTGAAATTTTGATGAGATAAATTAAGAGATTAATGAATCGAGTAATAAATCCTGTTTTTGAACGTATGGTCTCGTTAGGTGAGCTACAGGTAAGTGTTATTTATGGACAGGTAATCGTCTTATGCAGTTAGATTCGTTGCGTGCATTGAGGCGTGGGAGCGTTGTCAGTGCGTGGGTTGGTCTTTGATGGCCACGATAATAGTTCAGGTTCTTTACAGTACTTTATATCATGGGGCATCTCGTCTGTGCGGGTGAACTCGTCTCGGGGCTTCCACTTACTTCTTTATTAATAAGTTTTTCATGGTTGATGGAAATGACTATATTGAACTTTTTTGCGACTATGATCGTTTAGACACGGCCGGGTAATATTCAAGCTACATAATAAGGATTCATTAAAGAAGTGCAGTGTGAATCAGCAATACAGTAGCCTACCAAACAATGCCGGCTGAAGTTAATAATTATTTAATACATAACTGCCCATGCAAAAACAATACTATTATGAGAACTGAAGGGGTTTTTCAATCCTAGAATATCGTTTTAAATATTTTTCTTTTATTTTAAACACATTTATACAGGATTAAAGCACTGTCAGGTGGTTGTTAATGCCGGCTTTTCATATGGTCATGTTCATGATTATATTATGCAGTATGGTATGTAAAATTAAATGATAATTGTGGCTGAGGTAAGAAAAGTTATTATTATGGCACCTCTTTATGGTCGGAACTCTCAGACTTAAATTTGAATATACTATAATTTCGTAATTCCTTTTTAGAAAAATTTAGGGGTGGGGTCAGGGCTAGCCACTGATTAATTCTACTGCTATAACTGCTACTATTGCCTTTTAGGATGTTGATCATTAGCCATACTGTCAAAATACTAATATTTATTCTAATTGCAAAGTCAATTAGGATTAGGCCTATGATTAAATTATGAATCTTATGACTGTCTAGTAAGCAGACTGCTTGGCTCCTCTGCAACAACATATCTCATTGACACATATTCCTCTGTATTTATTATCTCTGTATTTATTAAATCAAAACTCAGTAATATTAATCCATTCATTAATTAGATATAAAAAAGAAGCTTTAGAAATGTAGTTGCATGTTGAGAATACCATGGAAAGTAACGAAACAGAGGTTCTGAGATTAGCACAGACAATTCGACAACTTTACTTTCAATAAAGCAAAGAAAAATAAAGTACTTCATAAGAAATGGATTACAGAGCGGGCTTAACTTTGGAATGAAAATTAGAAGGTAAAAGAGGGAGAGGAACTCCATGAACAGCTGGATGAGCAGCATCAAGGAGTAGACAAGGATGAAGTATGGAGAGTTTGAGATAAGCAGAAGATAGAGAAGGATGGAGATCCATCGCAGGGGTGGCGCCAGGATTTGCCCGACGAGAGGGGGGGGGGGGCGAGGTCCCCGACGAGTCGTCAGATTTCCCCGAGGAAAGCAAAGTGGGCGTGATCGAGCTTCGATTAAAAGTTATCGAAATTGGTCCTGGAGGCGAAGCCCCCGAAAATTTTGACAATTTAGGGGTTTCAAAGGCTTATTTAATCGATTTTTTTACTAATATGTAAAAAATACATATAATTTGTTTTCCTCCCCGACGAATTGTGTTTTTTGTCCCGCCACACGTGATTTATCGTCGTTGGTCTGCTGAGAGCACGTAACATTAGATGTACATCTCAGAAAGTTCAAATATCAGAAAGTTCCAAAATACAGTAGTAAGCTGCTTTTGTTGTCCCTCCGTGGCAACATTTCAGAGCATCCAATGTGCTCCTTCTTTCTGGTGTTTGCTTTTTCGTGCACGTTGCAATAT